TGAGTTCTCCAATGCCACAGGCTCCATGGCACTGGAGATGTGCCCAATGTACCTTTTGTACCAGTACAAAAGTGCTGAACGGGGTTCAGGCCAGCCCCTTGGTCAAGGTCACACTCAGGACACTGTGGCAGCACCAAGTCCCTTTCACTCCCCAGTGCTCAGGCACCTGGACACCACTGGGACAGTCTGGAGCAGGCCAAGTGCCATTTCTGACCTGGCAGTGAGACACTGGCTGTACCCCCTCACTGTGTCCCAGCTGGAGCTGAACCTCCCTGGGCTGAGCAGCAAGGCAAGCCCCCTCTTCCCTGTAGAGGACTCTGGCAAGGAGCAGCTCTCAGGGACACAGCTGAATATCCACAATGGACATGCAGCTTAGGCCTTTCAAGAATATATTTCAAGGCTTCTGCAAACCATGCCAGAGTGAGGACTATACACAGCCCACCCTCTTCAAGCTCTTCCTTGTTAAAGCTGTGAGGACTAGAAAAATGACAACTCTAAATTAAAAACATGACATCATTGTAAGATCTCAGAACTCTACCTAAAAGCCTGGATGGGCCTCAATATATGGATCTTGTATCTGTACATTGGGAAGACCTGATAAACCTCTAAAAGCATTTCGAGGTTGTAAAGAGCTTTGTCGCAACGACTAGAAGCAATCAAAGGGAAATTAAGTATTCATATAAAGATTTCCTCTTAGGCAGAATGAAAAAACCTCAAATCTAAGCCTAGCATGCATTAACAGTTTTTGCTATCAGAGCCCTGCTAGAGAGCTGGAAATTATATGGTATTTTCCTGCCAGCAGAAACTCTGGAGCAAATATAGTTATATATGCAACCATAAAAATGTGTCTGGGTTACAATTAATTTAATTTGTAGGATAATTATCCAAGGATTGCTTCTTCAGGGACAAGCTATCCAGGGATAGCTTAAACTTAAGTCTTAACATCAAAAATGTGGTTTTATTTCTTCTTAAACTTTCTCTAAATGAATGAAATCAGGCTTGTGTGACCACTGTCCCTTTTTTTTGGTCAGTCTCCTAATACATGGAGAGGGACTTTTTGCAAGGGCATGTCATGACAGGACAAGGGTGAATGGCTTCAAACTGAGAGTAGGTTTAGATTAAGTATTAGGAAGAAATTCTTCACTGTGAGGGTGGTGAGGCCCTGGCACAGAGAAGCTGTGGATGCCCCATCCTGGAAGTGCTGAGGGCCAGGTTGGATGGGGCTCTGAGCAACCTGGTCTGGTGGAAGGTGTCCCTGCCCATGGCAGAGGGGTTGGAATTAGATGATCTTTAAGGTCCTTTCCAACCCAAACCTTTCTATGATTCTGTGATAAGATTTTAACTTTTTGGCCAATTAAATTAAAACTGATGTAGAAATTGAGATGCTCAAGATACCAAATCTTTGCAAATTTACTCAGGTTGACAAGGGACTGCTAAATCTCCACTTCTAAAAACCTCAATCTCGGGTTTGGTGACCAGAGAATTCATGTTGAAGACAGCCACCAAAAAGAAAAAAACAATAAAACTTGCTGGAATGACAAAAGACTGCACAAACTGTGTCCCTGCAGAGCCCTAGAAGGAACAGGGAGATGTGACATCTGACAATCAGGGGAGTTTGAACACAGCCAAGGCTGCACAGCTGGTTACAAATCACTGCATGGCAAAACCCCAGGTGTCCCATTCCCTCCAGGACTGAGCAGCAGAACTGCTGACATGTTAGCTATTTAAAGGGGTGTGTTTGTCTTGTCAGCTAAGCCATTACTGCATGTCACACTGCTGCCTACTCTTGCCATCTATCCTGGGATGCTTCCCAAGCTCCAGGTCCTCAAGTCACATAAAGCAGGATCTTAAACCGCACGTTTAAAAGATGACTTTGTAGCTCCAAGAGCCTGAGAGAACCTCCCCAGCTTGACATGCAAAATGCTTCATGAAGAGCCAGCTAGCTGGAAAACTCACCACAGGGCCTACCTCCCCCTGCTTCTCCACAACCTTGGTGTTTCACAGCCTGTCTTACCCTTGCTGGATGCTCAGAGCTGGCAGCAGTGATGTGAGAGCATGTTCTCCAGTTGAAGCTTAAAACTGTTTTATTGCAGGTACAGGCACATTTTGGATTGTGAGTTCCTCTTGGCACAGATGCTTCAGTGCTGAAGCACTCCCAGCACAGACAAAAAAGCACAAGTTTCTCTCCTGACAAACAGAGTGAAGATCAATGTAAACAGCTTCTGAAGCAGCCTGTAATTTTTCATATCAACACAAGGCAGTCTGCTTTTCCCTTAGAGATAGCTCTCTCAGTTTCTGCCATTTAATTTCAAAAAGCAAGCCACATCTGGACTTCTGTCACAGCTTCTGCTTCTTGAGGGAAGACACAAAATCCCCTTTTTTGCCTCGGTGGGACACAAATAAAAGTGAGTCTGCAAAACAGGAAGGGACAAAATGGAATGTCTTCTACATGCTTCCAGCCCTTACCTGGGTATGAGTCTATGCAGATGTTGGCACCTACAAGGCATCAGAAGCTTTGTCAGACTACAAGGGGCACAGCAGGATGGAAAAGTACTTGTCAGGGAAAGGAAACTCCATTGAATCCAGACACAGCACTTTTTCCTTGCTACAGGAGGCACACTGCACTACCCCACAGGCACAGCTTTTAGGAATCAGTGGGATGATTCTCTCTGGGAGCTGTGGAGAAGTATGCCAGCACTGGGAGGGGACAGAACTGCCAGAAGGAAGCAAGGAGCTCTTTCACGTCATCCTGCTTGGCTGGGAGGTGGCAGAAGCCTCCTATTCTGATGTCCACCTAACAACACACTCCTTTACAATCAGTACTGTCCCCCTTTCTTTTATTCAATCTTAGATCTGTTTCAAACCAAGCCAATACAGAAGGGTGGCCACAAGGGTCCCATGGACAAAATTAGTGTGCAATGCTCTGAGCAATAGGAAAGGGAAAAGCACATACCACTAGTAAGCAGAAAAGAACTCATCACCAAGATATATGAACATGCTGGTAATAGCCAGCCCAGACAGGGAAACTGAGGCAGACTAGGAGTAAACAGAAGTCAGCACCTGCAGACAGGCAGCAGAGCCTGACCTGCTCAGAGCAGTCTCATCCACTCACAGGTACGTCTGCTAGAAAATACAATTGTCTGCAGCCAGGTAATGAAGAGTCTGAGTGGGAACCCCACAGCCAGGGGTCTGTGTGTGCAGTCCTGGGCTGCACCAAGGGTTTTGCCCACAATTCACTCACACAGGGTTTGCTATTCCACACGGCACAGCCACGGGTCACACTGCATCCATGTAGTGTGTGGAAGTTGTTTTGCTTTCATTGTAACAATGTAGACTTTTTAAGAGTCTATCATTGTCCCATCTGTGTCTCCCAGTGAAAAGTTTTCAGGCCTGGGAAGGCTCACTGTTCTTTTCCTCACCAAGGGAAGCATGTTAGCTGCTGTCACAAGACAGTTGTTGGAACATCTCTGGAACCATAAAGGGCAAGGGAACGAGGAGGCTTTTTGTCTGAAGGATGTCACAGCAGTGAGAGATCAAAGAGTCAGCCCATTTCCAGATTATGAGTTGGGAACAGGTCTATTAGCTCCCAGTACTCACTCTTTCCTGAGTATCTGTTCAATATACATTGACAGTTGTCTTAATGGGAAGTCTGACACTGAAAACCACCATGCTCCTGGGCAGTCTGTCTCAGTTTTGTTCTCTGCTAGCTCAGAATCAGATCCAGGTGGGGATCTGTCCTAGAAGCACCCCAGATGGGATCCCCTCATGTCCCTCCTGCACCATCTGGCAGTGTTCTTGTACAGCTGTCCTGGGGGTGTTGGTAACTCATAGGTAGAAACCCCAAATCTGGATTGAAAAAACCCAACCAACAAACCCCAGCTGTTGTTACTGTACAGTTAATTTAGCTTGGGTTAATTCCCTGAGCACACTGTGTGGCCTGACACATGCTCAGCTAAAGGGAAGGCATCAGGACAGAGGTGAACAGTGGGGGGCCTGTGGTGCCAGCAGCTCCTTAACCCTGGGCTGCTGCTGAAAGAAAAACTCATGTGTGTGTGTGTGAAAAAACACATTTCCTCAAAAACCTGCTCTCTCTGTCTGGCAGCCTTAATCAACCTCAACCAAATACTAGAAACGATATTCTTATAATGGCATAATTCCAAGCAGGATTAAATCCTTCAGAAAATAAACCTCTGCCATGTTTTACGGAATATTATTTGATGTGAAATACAATAAAGCATTCATCATGTAAATATAATCTGGAATAATTCTCTTTTGCTGCCACCTGTGGCATCTTCTAAATCTGCAAGCAATCTACAGAGTGATTCAAGGAGTTTTTCACTAAAAACCTTAAATAATGCTGTCTGTGCTTTCTGGATCACTACTCATCTGTGCCCTTTCTCACCACTCTGCCCTCTCATTACACTGCTAATTGAGAACATTGTACAAGTCTCCTGTGTCTGACTGTTGTCTGCAGGCTACAGCCCATGATTTTGGGAACAACCTAGAAACTTCAGTCATGAAAGCACCTGGACTGCTGCATATGTAAAAGCACATAGGTACAAATGTTTTAGAAACAAAACTTCTAAAAACAGCTTTTAACATTTGTAACATGATTTTCTGTACAAAGTAATTTTTCTTGGGAGACAGTTGTAAAAAGTAATATGAGGACAAACCATTTTAAGTGCCTTGGTGTTGCTGGGGTGTGTAGTCAGCATTTCAGCACAAGACCTCTCCATCTGAGAATGAGTTTTGGCAGAAGCACACGGGATGCGCCAGTGTGATGTGTAAAGGCATTAGCAAGTGCTGGAAAAGGTGATGACACCAATGTCTGCCTCGGCTGTGGCTCTCCAGGTGCACTTAACTTGCATTTTAAAAAGAAAGAGATGTTTTTGCAGCAGCAGGGAGCTGTACACCACCGCACAGCTGGCAGTGAAGCACTGCAAGCGGAGCAGTCCCGACCACGGGAAGAGATAACTTCTGTTTGCTTTATGTCTCACACCATGCACGATCCATTAGTTGCCAAAGCAGTCAGCTGCTCGAGAGCGTCTATCTCCACACCAATAGCTGGAGAGAGTGAACTCCATAACCCTACCAGCCCAGAAGTTGTATTAGAAACACCCCAGCCGCTGCTCTGGTGCTCTCCGGGGTGCCAAACTCCCAACACCCAGCGGATGCAAAGCCCGCTCCCTTCTCCCTCCTGCTGTCTATCCTTAGGGCGGGGAGTCGCGGGCTGCCAGCCATCACCCGGCCCCGTCGGGCACGCGTAGGGCACCACTGACTCCTCTGGGCTGAGCAAGGCAGGGGCCGCCCCAGCCGGGCACCCCCGGCAGCCTGGGGCGCGGGGCCCGGCGGGGTGCCCGGAGCTCGCCTTCTCCGCGGGGCCGTGCCGCCCCCTCCCGGGGGGCGGCGGGCCCGGCCCGGCCTCGCCCGCCCTCAGGGCGCTTCCCCCGGCGGAGCCGTCGGAGGGGGCGCCGGCGGCCTCGCAGCGTCGGAAGCGGACCAGCTTCACGGCGGCGCAGCTGGAGACGCTGGAGCTGGTGTTCCAGGACACCATGTACCCCGACATCTACCTGCGGGAGAAACTGGCCGACGCTACGCAGATCCCCGAGTCCCGCATCCAGGTGAGGGGCGCCGGCTGTGCCGCGCCCGCCGCCGCGCCGGGGCCGCCGCGCGCCCCGGAGCGGCCCCGCTGCGCCCTCTCCGGGGTGGCCCGGACGGAGGACGGCTCGGCCCCCTACGCGTGGCCGCCGGCCGCCGGCTTCCCCCCCGGCCCCGGCTTCGAGGGCTTCCCGCCCGGCCAGCCCGGCGGGGCCGAGCCCGGCCCGTTCGCGGGGAGCGCCGCCGGCCCCTTCCCGCCGGCCCGCGCCTTCTGCGGGCAGTACTCGCCCGTGTCGGACGCCGAGGACACCAGCGGCTACTCGGAGTCGGGCTCGGAGTGGGAGGAGAACGCGCTCGGCCCCTTCCGCGCCCTCTGAGCGCCGCCGCGGCGGGACCGGCCGGGCCGGCTCAAGGCTCCCGCCGGAGCCGTCCCGCTGCTCGGGCGGGGAGCAGCCACACCGCGCTACCTCACTGCTGCTCTGCCACTGTTGCACTTTATCCGGTACTAACGGATTGTACCTATTTATTTAAGAAAGATACGGGTCGGCTCCATCAGCTGAGGGCATCTTTTTACACTGTATTTAAGCTTTCTTGTATCATGTTTAGTGTATCTATTTAACCTTCTTTAGGCAAAAAGCTAACTCAAATCCACTGTGTTTTTGGGGTGGGGGTTGGTCTTAAAAAAGAGTGATGGTCTGTTGGGGTTTTTTGACCAAGAAAATAAAGGTTTACATTTTTGATCTGTTTGTGTGTGTACCTGGGGTTTCTTACCTTGGCTGATGGTGGGGTAGAGAAGCGGAGATATCCCAGCTGCAGGTTCTCCTCCCAGGTCTTGGAGAGCTACAGGTGCAGTTCAGATGTTGATAAGAGACCTAAAGGGCCCGAAGGACAGGTTACAGAAAGTGCCTTAAACTTCCTCTGTCAGTGTTTGTCTTAAATCTGCCTTAAACAAACACCCGCATTCCTAAATGAAAATGGAAATGTCTGGCCTAAGTAATACAAATCCCCAAATCGCAAATGCTCAGACAAAAGTCTCCAGTCTGCCACTTATGCCAAGGATAATGTTAAACTAAGAGAAATGGGAGTATTTTGTGGACACTGTAAGGGTGCTTTAGCTGCAGGCAGGGAGCTCAGAAGCTGTGCACATGATCACTCGTGGGCTGAATGGCTCTGCACTGAGAATGGCAAAATCACTAGCAACAGAAGCCTCTCCTCTAATTCAATTTATTGGGAAAGGATACATTACTCTGTACGTATTTTGAGCATAAGGCCAATTCTTCCTGCTTACACAATAGTACTTCAGAGCCTAGCAGAGCAAGCTGTAAGTTATAGAAAAGCACCCCAAATGCCAGAAGCAGAGGAAAAATGACCCATGTACTGGTGGCAGAAATACCCTGTATCAGGAATCATGCCCCACAGAATAAGGTTACCAATGCACAAAATCCCTCAGTGTCACCCTGTAACATACCTGTGCTTGTGAGATCTGGGACAGCTGAGCACTGGTTGGACTGCAAGGTGAAGTGGCATGGCAGGGTTGCTGACAGCACTCTCCATCAAAAAACCCCCAGAGCTATCCTTGAAAAAAACATGAACCAAAAACCAACCAAACTACCTCAGACAGCAAGTGGACTTGGGTGCTATGCTGGGGAGCAGGCAAACCCCAGGAGAGAAGCACTTGCAGGAAGAGACAGAAAATGAGACCACGGTTTCTTGGGGGCTCAGGGTAAATTCAAGTTTACTGATTACAATAAATCAAAGTAACTTGTTCTGCAGACTTCATGTATGGTAGCTGCAGTGAGCTCTTGAGACTCCTGCTATGCTTGGGGTACACTCAGCAAAAATATTTCTATTTGTTACTGTCAACAAAATTCAAAATTCAACATTAGCTTTGAACACATCAGTACCCAAGGAGAAATGTAGCCTTTCAAAGAAAAGATGTGTATATTCACATTGCCTACATGAGTGGGACAAATTACATGTCAAATTAAATGGCTGATCACAAATGACAGAACTTTCTATGATATACTACTCTCCAATAATTAAAAAAAAAACTACAGAAAACATGCTGGAGAGCACATCCACAAGTGAAAACCATCATACCTAGGGAATCAGAGTTGAGACTGGGGTGTGGTGGTTACTGCAGTGTATTCTGTATCCAGTAGGATAAAAGGTTGTCATGAAAAGTAGGTTCCCAAATCCTCTGGTATCTACTAGTGTCTACAACTTGTCTCCCCCTCAGTTTGGGATGTTTGCCATCAACAGGGCCAAAATACCCTCCTGGTGTATCCTACTGGGAAGTCCTGCTCCTCAAAAGCAGTGAGTGCACGTGCTGAGCTCGAGTCCCAACAGCAGGACAGGATCAGAGCAGAGGGAGCAGCAGGCACCTGAGTATTGGGGTGCAAGGGGATGGTTCCTTCTTCCTGAGTTAGCTGCAGAGTAGATTACTTGCTGCCTGACTAAGCTTATGTACCTTAAATTAGGCTTTGGCACCTTTCTCTGTTTACATGAAAAGGGTGGTGGGAGAGGACTCCTCTCTGTCTTCTTTATCAAACAGATGGTAACACCACAAAACAACGAGTGATATAATGACAAAAGCAACTGCAGGGACCACTAGGATGTTCTATTGCATTATGAGAGGTAAGTTTTCCTGGGTAACTCAGCTGAATTACTGTTTATCATTATTTTATAGTATCTCTTGTAAATTTTTTAAATACCTTTTAAAACAGCTACTCACCTCATCCTCGTAACATTTCATTTTCAGCAATTAGCTTCTCTTAAAAAAATGACCTGAGACCATCTGCAAAAAATTTTGCATTTTTGTGAAATATATCAACTCTCATAGGTCAATTTATTCAGTTACAAATTTCATTGAGAATAAAAGATTTATGCATTTCTCTTAATTAACAGAACAAATGTAGCTAAATATAAACTCTGCACTAAAGTTTTGCAGTGGCACAATACCAACACAGAATACAGAAGCATCTTTAAACTATACAAAATTTTAAAATTGAAAATAATCCTGTTTACATATTCTTTATACATTAACATATAAAAGACCTTATTTAGTGAGGCATCTAAAAGAATCAAAAACATCTCTACAGCTATCTCTGAAAATCCATATCTGGAAACAATTCATTACACAGAAGCTTTACAAGACTATTTAAACAAACCAATACACACTTTTTACAAGATTAACATTCCAAAAGGTATAGGCAGGCTATCACTTCTCATTTTTGCAGTTTACCTCACTGGTTATCTTTAATTATAAAAATCTTCATATTTATATATGGTGGGTATTGTTGAATAACCAGTAATCTAATTTAAAACTTGTGCAAAACAAACAAGAATTTGGAAAAACAGTAAGTTTAACCAGTCACTTATATAAAACACCACCTAAAACACTTCTTTTGTCCCGTGTGCAGGGAAAAAGCCATAACCAATCTCTTTCTGGAAAGTTAACAGTTACATTTTTATATTCCTTCATTAGACTCCTTCTATAAGTTATGATAAATTAAGAGTTCCAACAAGACACTGACTGATCGATAGACCTGCCCAACATCCTCCAGTTGACAGCTTATGTTTGCTGGCTGTATCCTGCTGCTGCTTCCTTAGGTCAGGGCTTCCCAAGGGCTGACCTGGCAGCTCTGAAGAGCTACACAGAGGTGTAGCTTTACACAACAAAGACCTGCCATGTGGCTACTAACTCCAGCCATTTCCTCTTCAGCACTTCTAACATACCAGGAGATCCAACAGCAAGAGGTGTGCAGAATTAATCTGAACTTTTAAAAACCAAGTTCAAATGATATGAAAGTATGCTTTCAAGTTTACTATAATCAATGCAATTACTAAGAGATTACCAGTTAGCAAAACTACTGCATGTGAATAACAAATGGAGAAATCTAATGTAACGCTGGCCAGTAATGCTGGTTTCCTTAAGAAGCAGATATAATATATTTAAAAGGGTCCTTTCTGAGAGGTTTTCTCTTCCCTTATCTTCTGGCAGTTACGGTATTTGGTGAAGCCTATAGAAAGGAAGAAGATTTTCCAGAACTGCTTGCTGTACACTTGAAAGGAAGTTTTCAGTCTCTGTTGGTGTTATTGGCTGCAAAAGCATGCAAGTTTCCCATCTGGCTCAGACCACTCTGAATATGTGCAACATGGATCTCAACGTTATTCTGAAAACAGCTATGGGAAGATAAAAAGAATGAAAGTAAGAAATGCTGAACCCCATATGTAAGAGTTATGTCTGAATATCTCTATAGTGAAAAACCAAGATCTGAGCCTAGCCAGCAAAAAAATTCAGATGAATCAGCGAGCAGTACATACAAATGCAACTTGACAGAGAAGTATGAGAAAACACAACTTGCACACACAAGAGTCACTGACTTAAAACACTTAAACACTTAACATGTCCAGAGTTAGTGAACTTAAAATATTATGAAGAGATGCTAAAATGGCCAAAATAAGTATCACAAAATGGAAACATCACCCCTTTCTTTCCTGGGTACATCAACCTTCACTTGAATCAATTCCAATATGCAATTTGCAGGGTTGATTATAAAGAAGTTTCACTAATGTCTGAGGTTTGGTTTTGTTTTTCCTAATGAAAATTGCTATAAAACAGCATTTCTCAATAACTATATTAAAATCAAAAGGCCATCCTTTTGGGAAAAAAAATTAAAAATTCAGGTATACAGCCTCCCATTATAATGTAGCAATACAAGTAGTAAGGGTAAGAAAAAATACTTAGCATTTGGATTTATTTTCTGAATGACATAATTTAGCAGCATAAAACGCTTATCACAAATTGCTGGAGGCTGCAGAGAAGAATCACGACTCTCTTGCTACCACATTCTTGCTATTTTTATGATGCCTCCTCAGGCAGCTGCTCATGACAACTGCTGAAAAATGGCCCATGAAGACTAGACTGGCCTTTGATCTGGCACAATATGGCTGCTCTTCTGTTTCTTGGCTTAAAATCTTGCCAATGGAAGCTGCTCAGAACCTCTAATTGTCTCATATGCCACCTTTTGATATTTACAGACAAGAGTATGCTAAAGGTATACTGAAATGGTACTGTTCTCTGGTTAAAAATACTTGTATTACTGGTGAGATTTCAAAATCTGACAATGTTCTAAAATAAGATTTTGTCATAAATTACTAAAGAACAAGAAAGTCTAGTTGTTGCTTCATCAATTAAGCACTTTTTAACTTTTTTCTTTAATATGTTACTTCACTGATAGGTTCAAACAGAAAACTACTCATTTCACAATCACTTTAAGAAGCCCCCCTTTTAGATGGGACCCTTCCTGTAAGTAGAAGTTACCAGATTAAACCCCTTAATTATAATCAATGTTCACCTCTAAAATACAGTAAGACCTATCACAAAGCGTGTAATTAGGAATTAAATATTCAAA